GTGCCACGACCTAATCGCAGAGATGTACTTCGTAAGTGTTCCTTTGGAGATTTTCTCACTCCTTGCTCCTTTCTTGTCACCTGATTCCTCCATTAAAATCTTATTCACCGGTTTCCCCGCCCATACTATAAACAGGTAAAGCGTCTCTAAGCTGAGAGGTAGGATGTCTGCTCGTGTTAACCCGGAAGCGTCCGCAAACTTTGTTAATTTTGATACCGCCGAAGAGTAGCTTTCGAGGGTTGATTGCCTCCAACTTCCGCTTAATAATGCTCTCTGTATCGGGTCAGACCTCCATTTCACCATCAAAGTGCTGTCCTGCAGGAACGGCAACAATTTCTTTTCGTTCTCCATTCACCTAACGTGTCTCTTCAATAATGGAAGTAGATCTGGGGGTAGGTTGATATCCACTTCTTGCTGTAGGTCCCACTTATTGATTCCTCCTCTTGATAAGTCGTCTGCCAGATTCTCTCCTGACACTACTCTGTCGATGGATAAGTCGCAGTGGAGGGCTGTAAGTGCTTTTTGAATATGCTTCCACTCGGTGTTTACTGACTTGTCCCTCGACTTTCGATTTCGAATTGCTGCCTCGGTAGTGGTGTTGTCCGTCAGCACCCGAAAATACCTGCCTTCAGTCGGGAACAGGTTTGCAACCACTCGAAGTCCGAGCCTTATCGCGACGGTTTCTAACCACGCGATCTTTCGTTTCGGGGCATTCGGTGGTAAACCTCGGGTTTCCCATCCTTCTATCAGTTCGAACTGGGCCCACCTGTCTCCTACTAGCACTCCTATACCAAAATTTGGGCTGGCATCCCCGACCCAACCTATATCCGTTGGCACAACTTCGGGTACAAACCTTAACGGTTCAAATTCTTTTAAGGTTTGGAGCCATTCTCTTAGATCTTCTCGCACCTCTCCTGGTAGCTCCCGTGTGGCTTGGTGATTATACCACGTATTGGTCCACCAATAAAGGTCCCACATGTAGCATCGCATGTTTGGAAGTATATACGTGATGTGACCTAGTTGGCCTACGATTTTATCCGCCTCCTTTTTGGACCATTTCTTTTCCAAGGTGAGTAAATCTTCTACTTGTCGGATCCTTTCTTTTAATTTCTCTTCTGGTAACCTGACAGTTTTCTGCTTTCCATTCCAGATGAATCCTAGATACTTCTGCTCTACGTTCCAATCACTAAACTTCTCTTAATTCGATTGCACTCCTAGGCTATTACTGACTTGAATAACATCTTGCATGCTCACCAGGTCCCCTTCCTCTTTGATGAACAGGTTGTCATCAACCCATCGAAAGACTGCCTTTAATGGGAATAAGGACCTAATTATATCTCGCCAAGCATCTGCCATCCAGCCAAACGTCCCACACCCTGCTACCCCACCGAAGGCGATCCTTGTATCTGCCCATAATCTATTATTGAAGTCCTTTATCATTAAGAAGCGCCACTGTGATTTGTGCGTAGGGCCTTGTCTATACGCTTTCTGCCAATCGTAAATCGCCAACAGTAAGGACTTCCCCGTATTTTCTCGGAAGAACTTTGCTACCACCCAAAAATCATCCCATGATGTTCTGAAATCTGTTTTATCCACGAAGGAGTTAACCGAAGGTATATTTCTATCATCATCCGGGTAAGAAAGTTCTTTCAGCAACCTGTCTGCGTCATCTGAATGGTTTTCGACGTGTGAAGCTGTCCAGTCGTCCGCTCGCGGCCCGGGGTTCTCGACGTGTGAGTCTATCTTTTTCTTCTTCTCTTTGGCTGGGTTTTTCTTAGGGAAGGATAAGTCATTAATCATTCTTAATGATCCATCGTTGTTCACTACACTACCCATAGGGTTTGACCTAAAGAATCCCCATCTGCTATGTACCTCCTCGTGGGTAAATGGCCCAAACACTCTTCCGGCTCTCTTATCTTCATACAAACTGTTCATTATCTTTTCTTTCACTGCTAATGCCGAGGTATGATTGTCTGGTGTAAACCACCTGAGGTTTCCTAAGTTATGATCGGGAATTCCTTGATGGAATCCTGTCGTCAAAGATTTCATCACGTGGTCCCACTTCTCGGTCAGGTTACATTCTTTCAAGAGTTCTTTCCACTCGTCTAATTTCATGTCGCAGCTCGCTTCAGACGGCCATCGAGTATCTCTATTTGGACTGATCTCTCTGGGTCGCTCAACTCTCTCTAATCTCACGACTTCACGGTCTCGACTTCTATTAGACACATAGATAAATGGAGGTGGGGGTCATACGAAGAATCAGTTCACTTGACTTCCATTACACTTTAATTCAGAGTATGTCATCCTGGAAAGGAAAGAGGGGGTACAGCGATTTGTCTCATAGAGGTCTGTCTATATCAAAGGTATTTTTCATTTCTTATTCTTTTCTCATTACACCTATTCAGGGTCCTCTGATCATTTGGTTACTTACTTGCTTCCTCCCCCTTGTCCTTTTCCTTTCTCACCAGCAGCACTACCTCCACTAGCCGTATGCGCTCCTTCTAACATCAACTGTCTAGTTTGAGGTACGAAGCTACCCGGATCTATAGCGGGTCGTTGTCCAGCACCATTACCACCCCTTGGCCATTGCACCTGACCGCCTCCGTAGTTGCTTGGACCAGCGTTATGAAACTCGTTAAAGTGATTTCCGAGGTAAGACTGATTATGGCTGGAATTCATAGGATAAGATCTACGCGTTCCGTTAAAATGACCCCGACCTCGATGATTTTGATTAAAGGGTCTACCTCCTCTTCCTCCATTACGATTTCGTGAGGGGCCTGCAGCTACGTTGGTATCACGATAAGAAGACGACGGGAGGGGGTTCAACGCTGACACTAATCGTCCTCCTGTACCTTCTAGCTTCAACTCGTTGATAATATTCAAACCATCCCACGAATGATACTCTGGGTATATCTGTCCATCGATGGGGCTCTGGTTTTGGAGCGCATACCCAATGGCGTAGGGATTGTCGTCAAAAATGTCATCTTTAGCAAACTCTGAGTCTCTGATCGCCTGCCTAACCAATAATTCGTTCCTCGTTCCCACATCAGACATCTTCCCGTCCGCTAGTCGATGTTCCCAGACGTTTTGTCTTTGGGCTATATCGTACCGAAACGCAGGCATCCACCTGCCTTGATTCTCCGTCTGGATCTCTAGTACCACCGCTTTATGAAGGATGAGTCTCGGGGCTATTGGGTGGGACAATTGACCGGGAAGTTTGTCGTAGATCGTTTTATGGTATTGTACCATTAAGTCGAACCTCTTCGACCACTCAGCACTGGACAGCCTCCACTCACTCGGAACTGGCAAACCGTGGTAAGATATGACGTCTGACGAGCAACTAGAGACCTTGGTTTTCTTCGTGCTCATATGGGCTTTGTCGAGTAATAACCACTTTACGTTAAAGATCGATACCGGTACGTGTCTGTTCTTGTTGGTCATAAATTTATCAAAATATTCTGACAGGCGTGGCATCGTGTGACTCAAAGTTGTACCTTCTTCAAACTCTGTACTAAGTTCGTCTTTCTTCTTCTTCGCTTTTTTCGTTGGTTGCTTGTCTTCATCACTGCTCTTTTCTTCATCTTCTTCTTCACTATCTTCATCATACAGCCTTGGATCTCTCTCTTTCGTATTCATCTTCTTACACCAGCTTGTGTACGACTTCTCTAACATCTCTAGTCTCTTGGTCTTCCCTTTCTCGACTGCTGATTTTATGCCACTAATCCATTTCCCATGTGCTAGGCAAATATCAGGGCCTTCAATGATGTCATCAATATCTGGTTCTAATCCGGGAGTCCAAAGGACATGTATCGTAAGCAACTTATCTTTCTAATCTATCGCTCCACAACGCTTTTATCTCTAATCATGTCTCTATATGGCAGTCTTTATCACTTCCACCACAAACTCTTCGGACTTTAACCGGAATCAAGCTACCTGAGTATTCCTCCTTCGGAATTTAACCGGAATCAAGCTTATTTATATATAGAAATTTGTTCTTCGGACTTCAACCGGAATCATTCTCTCCTTCCAACCCTACACTCATCGGAATTTAACCGGAAAAATCTTATTGAATAAGGACTGAATACACTAGTTTTTGGAACCTTACTTACGTAAACCGATCAAGTTTCCTCCCTTCTCATTTCTACCTTCATCTACCTGATCGTCATCGCCTCCTACTTCTCTTGAAGTGTCCTCCTGAAGGTCTTCGTTTGGTTGATCTGTCTCTACCAGGTTCGTTTGGTTGCTACTTCCTGGATCTTTTGCAGACCTCGATGTATCCAGTTGAGATTGACCACTCTCTTGCATCAAAGTATCCGTGTTGACATCTTCGTTTTCTTTCTCTAGATGCTCGGCCGTCTTCTTGCTCCTGGTGTTCACCTGTTTTCCTTTTCCCCCGGTCGGTTTCTTAGTGGTCGCATTTCCAGGTGCTGCGATCCTTGGTCCTAACTCTGCTGCTGCCGCTGCTTCTCGTAACTCTTCGGCTGACATTTGTACGGGTGAAGGTGGTGATAGGATGTACTTTGAGAGGGAATAAGAATGTATTTGAGGGGGGGATTGTGTATTGACTTTGAGATAAGACTGGAATTTCTAAGGGTTATTCTTGTTGGTTAGTTTATATAAGTTCTTTTTAATGGATATATGTTCTTGTTTCTAGTTTTTCTTCAGTTATGTCTCTTCTTGTTCAATGTATGAAAATAAAGGAAATAAAGAAAAAAAAAATTCTACTAAATTTTCTGCGAACTTGCGTCTATCGTTGAGAGGTCTGAGGGATGATGGAAAACTCTGACTCAGAGATTTTCCTCTCTTGGGTTTGTACTCTTCTCTGGCCTAGTTTCTGCTAGGCCCGGGGTCCCCGTGTCTGTGATCCGCGGGGCCGCTCATCCTCAGCCCTCATGGAACTAGCGGATACCGTCGTGCCTTTGGGTATCCGCCCCATAGTTGAAACAAGTGCAGGTTTCACAGATTGAGTGGGTAACATTGAAATTAGGGCTGCGACCCGACCCTGACGGCCCCGGGGCCGCCCCGGCCTCGGATAGACCCGCGATGACCTCAGATCTGCTCAGGGCACGCCCTGAATCTTAGGGCTCCAGGCCAGGCAGGGCCAGACTCACATGGGGGCACGAAAAACTCACAGAAGGGCATCTTAGGTTGCATAAAAGACTTGCTGAGAGGGGATGTTGTATTTCTAGGCATTTATGAAAGGTTCCACAGTAACAAACAAACTTCACAATCACAAACTTGTATTTGAAAAAAGAGAAAAACTTGACTTGAATTCAATTTGAATCTCATGTATAAAAGGTTTTAAAGCCTACTTTAACACCTTATTCCAACTTTTAAGGCAAACCTGAGCCTCAAGATTGGTGGGAGTGAAAGCAGCACGGTGATCGCTCATGACTCTCAAGGCGTTAGAAAAAGAACTCTCGGTGGGAGCACTTGTGGCAGGGACTGCAAGCATGGCCCTTGCCATGCGAGATAAGTTGGGCCAGTGTCGTCCAGAGGTCTCCCAGTAGACAAGAGGGTCTCGTGATTCGTCCTCTTGAGGCGCAGTGAGGTATTCCTTGACTTCGTCTTCAATCGGGACTGTTTTTTGTCTCTTGATGTAATGTTGAGGTCGGTCGAGGTTAAGAGTTGATTCTTGAGGTTCAACTATCTCAATATCAGGGTTGGGAGCGGGTTTGAACTTGGTGGCTTGTAAAGTAAAGTACTCGACTAGATCATCGTGTCCCCAACCTAGCGATTCCATGGTTTGTGCTTTGACGGCGGTAAGCTTGAGACGCGGATCAAGGATGGCAGAACATATGTACACAGGTTTCGTCTCGGCGGCGTTCTGATACTGGATGATCTTCTTGATCATGGGCATGAATGCCACTTTCAATTCCTGACACTTGGAATCAGCCCAGGCCTATCAAGAATCAATACATCAATCAGTAAGCCTGTTTATCAAAAGAAAGAATTAAAAAAAGAAGAAATAACATAAACAAACATACCTTTTCAAGTCGCTCGACAAGCCATTGATAGTCAGGCATGACTAGAGAAAAAGTAGGATATAAATGGCCTTCGATCGTCTTGGTTACAGCAGCAAGGGGACCTAAAAATTGCACTAAGTTTTTGACCAGCGTCCATTCTTCGTAGTCGAGCTTGAAGCTCTCAAGAGCTGGGTTACAGTTGAATTGGTACTCCAACACAACTCTGAGCTCAATGAATCTAGCAAGGGAAGCATGTGTCGAAGACCACCAGGTGGATACCTCATGAACAAGTCCGACCTTGCGTTGTAAGGTGGGGCAGCTGGCAATAGCATTGTCGAGAGAGGTCTTGAGCTGACTACTATGTTTTACTTTTTTGTGGAATCCTCTAATTCTGGTGATTACACTACTTATCTCTGAGTTCGAGCTAGGTTCAATAAATAACGGAACCAAGGACTGAGGTTGTGGTATGGCAGGATCGAGAGGATTGATAGGTTGAGGGGTCTTTTGGTCAAAGACTGCCATACCTGCTTTAGCAACTAAATTGATGATGTGTGCTACACACCCATGAAGGTGTTTGGAAGAGTTGAAATGAGGGATCAAGGTCGAGAGGCTTTGGCCCATGGTTGTATTATTGGAGGCGTTGTCCGCGGTGATACAATAGAGGCGATTAGTGATATGAAAGGAGTCCAGAACATTTTTGAGAAGGGAAGCTAGGTTGGAACCCGTGTGGGGTCCTTCAATGGGCTTCAAAGCGAGTGTAATGCCGTGGAGAGTGAAGTCATCGGTCATCCAGTGAGCGGTGACACCGAGCATTGAGACGTTGGTGGGAGAGGTCCAACCATCACACGTGATGGAGATATGGGGGACAGAGGAAAGAATGTTGATGATCTTGTTTTGAGCTGATCGAAAGCTATCCAAGATACCATCGGTAATTGCGGTACGTTTAGATAAGAGGTTGAAAGCCGTGGGATTTATCATATTGATGACTTCTTGGAATTCTTTTGCGTCGACGAAGCATATTGGGACCTCTTGATTTACAACCATACAAATCAGTACTTCCTTGAGGTTGGCTCGGTTGAGCGGTCTGACCTAAAATAAGAACAAAAATAACAAAAATGCAAAGTTAGAACAGAAATGACGATGATAAAAATTTAAAGAAGATTGAAAGTATTAAAAATAATAAATTGAATTAAAACAGAATAGAAGGAACGGAATGTAACTTACTTTGACAGGTTCTCCGTTGATATAGAAGGCTGACACAGTAGGTTGATCAGTTTGGACAGGAGCTACAATATGATGGTGGCGATCGAGATGTTGAATCATGGACTTTGTGCTAGCATGCTTGTCGATGGCGAGAGGTTTGTTGCAAATGCCAGTTCCAGGTTCGTCGGGATCTACCTCGATGGGATTTATCGCGTCAACAAATCCTTGTTGAGCTCGACAAACATTCTTCGTCACACCATCAACCTTTTCGGTAATTAAATAAGTCCACACCCAGGATGAACGTAGCGTAGAGGTGGTATCAGAAGCTACGTCGGTGATGGAATCAGAGGGAGCAAGGGAAGAACAGGAGGATGACATCATTGCGCGTAGATGGGATGATTGAGTGACAGTCGTAGAGAGGGACTGGGAGGGCATGATCAAGGCCAATACAACACGGAGATATCCCAAAAGCGGATTATCGTGGGAGATCTTCACCAAAAAGCAGTCGGCACCCTGTTCGGGTCGGGCGCCCGAGGCGCCCACGGGTATTTTGTGTATCTCATTATGTTAGGTTTAATTGCCCCGGGACGCGTACTGCCAGCTTCAAAAAAAAGGTCGGGCAAAGGCGGCCGGGCGGGGTCGGGACCGGGTTGCAGCTCTAATTGAAATTGTCTCAAATTGCATCAGAGCTGCACATTGAGGGAGGTTAGGCGATACCTAGGTAAGTTTTGGATAGAAAAGTTGAAGCCATAGATGTGTGAAAGGTGAAAAGTGTTGTTTGTGTGGCTTGTAGTGGCACATATTGCTTTTCATTTTTATATTGGTTGGGCTTTGGAATGATCAAGAACACTTCTCACCAGTCTACTTTTGGTGATTATTTTGCAAAGCAAAACAAACGACCAGTTTTTTTGTTGGCTTTCATATTGTTTTAGCAATTGCTGAAGGACTTTCCTGAGCATTTGTAAAAAATTAAATTACAACTCAATGGACTCAGAAACTGGTTGGTTGGTTTTTGGCCCAACCCCTAAAAATGTTTGTTTTAGTTCCCTGCGTAGTATTTTGATATCAAACTTGTCAAGAAAGGATATGAAACTCAAGTTGAATTCTGCTCAAGACCTCGTCATTTTGCTGGACTGCAAAGTTTTAAGGATACCACTCATTATGCCAAATGGTTTTGAGTGCCATTGTATCACACTTGTTGTGGAAATATGTGAATTCACATTGACTTTCGCTGAAGATATGTTTGGACCAGGTCATCGAGGTTAAAAGCAGCGTATCGGTACCGCTTAAGAGATGCTGCTTACATTGTAGCCAAAACGTTTTGGGTGCAATTATGTGTCACTTGTCACAGAAAGATGTGAAACTGAGATGAAATTTCGTTTGTAACCTGCGTGAAACTGGCCGATGAGGTGTAATGCGAGTCGCCCTCAACTCTTCGCAGGGTGACAGATCTTCGTTCGCTTTCTTATCCAAATGTAAGACGTTGAGAAAGATACTACGTAGGCACATACGTCAGTGGTATAAAGGTACAGAAGTGTTTGACTCTGATAAAAAACAAACAGATCTGAGGTCCAGACAAGTCAGAGTTGGCTATGAAGTGAGAGCACATGAGTCATCATGAGCTCCGGCGATGATAGCGAAGTCCATACAAAGTCTGGAGTAATCGAGTGCCGCAAAAAGAATGCGCAGTTATCATATCCACACATTGATAGATGAGTGAACACGCCAGGACGCAGAGCTTCAACTCGTAAGAGTGCGAGGCAAGTAGTGAGTGTCGTATAGTGTATACCCTTTCCTCATGAGTATAAAAGGAGGACGTCCATCAGCTTGGTAGTCCCTCATCTGCTCATTGTCAGTGTTCATTCTTTGTGCATAATCTTTCGTAGCTACTAAAGACCTCATCAGTACCTAGGCTATAATCACCATGACCAAACTCTCAACTACACTTCTTGCTGTTGTTTTCGCAACATCTCCATTTCTAGCCCAGGCGATCCATTTTAGTGGACCTGACTTCAAAGTTCAAGGTGTTCCGCAGCGTGAGTCGCTCACGCAACTCCCGGACGCTGTTGCTCCAGAATCATAACTTAATTGCTCTTTCTTTTAGCTTGGGCTGAGGATAACCTCCAAGGCGGTCTTGAGAAGTTTTATGGAAGCGTAGATGCAGGAGAGCCAGAGGACGTGATCGCTCAAATCCACAATTATCCGAGTGCCAAGTTCGATTACTTTGGACACGTTCTCACGGGAGACCGTAAGTAGACTTCCTTGTGCAGTGTAAAGGTGCTATGACGATTTGCTGACACCCTCTTCGCATTTTCTGACTATCATCTTCCACAAGAGATTGGCGACGCCCTGGCAGCGCAGATGGTTCATCTACAGCGCACATACGAGACAGAAATTTCCTCAGGTATGCTCCCTAGTTGGATATGTGCTTGAATTGTATACGAGGAGGAAACCACTTGCACTAATCTAACTTTCAACCCACTGTCCTCATCCTGATACATAAAAACACAATGTGATGTGTTTTTAGCAAAGTGCACAGAAAACTCAGATCACGAAAAGGTTCAGATCAAAGTACTGGGTAAAGTGACTGTGAAGCAACCAAACGGGGAGAATCAACACGAGGGCCTAGACGCAACCATCACTTTTGTGAAACACGAAGGACAACTCAAAGTCTCCAGTTTCAAGAGGGTCTTTGCTGACCTTGAGTAGGCCAATATTTCTCAATGATCTTTTGCTCATCTGAGTATCAGAATGCAGCCGAGGACACCCTGTCATAGAGCTGGATATTGTTGTTGTTATTGGTGTCCACAACGGACGTACTGGGTGATGTCTGCTTTGTCAACCAGAGTTAGAGTTGTGTTGTTTGGTGTGCATCTTGCTCAAGCAAAAAAACATCTTCATGTAAATGTTTGCGTGCTGTGTGAAAAATTCTGAGCTTGTGAGCCGTACGTCTGACAAGCCGCACATTCATAGAAGAGTGGATGTTTTCACAAAAAATGAGAAGCTCAATAAGTATTGGGCGCAGATTTCCTAGTTTTTTGCGTGTTGTTAGCAGGAAATGGCATCACACTTCTAGACTGGCTTTTGAATTTGGGATCGGCGTGAGACTCAGGTAGAGTTCACGTGAAATGCCACCTGACGTCAATTGCTTAGGGTACGTTTGGTAGCGATTATTTTGAAAAATAATTGCTGTCAAAAAAAGATGTTTGGGACCACTTATGGTACCCAGAAATAAACTCCTTCCCCGTCCCAAAAGGAGTTTAAAATGGGACTTTGGATAAATGCCAAAAGGGAGTTTATCAGTGCAATAAACTCCCTTTTGTACTGGACAAAATTTCATCTGGAAAGCCTTCAACCAGCTTCAACCCTCCTCAATCAATCCAATATGTATTTGCTTCATAAGATGCTTGTTCTTTGACTCAGTCAACAACTTCAACACTACACCATCATACTCAAGACTCACAAGCTAATCTTCACTTCTACTTCTTGCTCCTGGCTGCCTTTCCTTCTGCTTACCAATCATCTTCTGAAATCTGTCATGTGTTTCTCAAATATGAATCTGGAATTGAATTGATTTTTCTGTGTAGAAAGTTATTGTCTTTTGTGATGTACAAATGAAGTCTTGAAAACCAATTTTGATTGAAGGAACAAGTTATTGATCATTCAATTTCCAGTCAATTGTGCAATCTTGATCAATCGGTCAATTTCAATCAATTGTTCAAAACCAATCAATCATTCAATTTCATTCAATCAGTCAATATCAATCAATTGTTGAACTCCAAAAAATCTCAAAACACATCACTCTTGAAAGATGAGATAGATAGGAAGTGGTGGAGAGTGTTGGATTTGGTGGGACACGTTTCTGTTATTGCAAGCATGTTCTGGAAAAAGCTTGTTGTATGGGGACAAAGGTTGTGTCATATGATCATTACTTGTATTATACATCACCAGAGGATATCTATATGGGTGGATGCAAAGTGGTAGAATGTGAAGTGAGGTGAGAAACCTTCAAAGAGAGTTTATTATAAGATACGTCTGGTTGGGATTTTCAACCAAACCCGATTTTCTCAAATGTACCCATAACGGAGTTTATTTGAAAAAAACTCGATTTGAACAAGAAACTCATTTGCCGCGGGGCAATGTACCTGGGGTCAAACAGAGTTTACAATTGGTAATTGCAACCAAACGTACCCTTACTTATCCACATCCATAACCACTAATTAAGATGTTCCAAGCAAAGCAGACTCTGTGAGATCATCCTATTGACATCAATGACTATGTCCAAGAGGCAAATTGTTGTTGGCATTGGAAAAAAGAAGTGAAACATGAGGTGCTGGGAATGTTTGTTTGATGGTCAATTATACACACTTTGAAAGCATTCAAAGGTCATAGGTATCAACACATTCAACGTGATAAAGTATATTTCAAAAAAAAATGATAGATAGCTAAACTAGAGAAAGGATGCAAGATGTAAAGTAGATTTCAAAAGGATGAAATCAGGGATTTCAAAAGATGACCAGCTGGTCCTTTCCAAGCGCAGCAACAGCCAAAATTGAAGTGGCTGAGCTGGTAACTAAGGACTCATCCCACAGATGATCTACAGAGCATTGTTCATATCTTTGGTTGCCTTCTTTCCCTATTTCTTTTGACCTCTTTTTTTGGTTGGGATGAGCCCAATATTCACCCTTTTCTCCCTCTCATCAAACTGTGCTCATCAATCCCTATCCAAATTCCTAATTTTCATTCCAAACCTATTCAGATTTTCCTACCTTCCATTTTACCCTCAAACATGGTTTTTCAATTTTACTCAGAGGGCATCAAGCTCCTGGCTACTCAGTTGGTGGTGACAAATTTACCCCTTGCCAAGATCAACTTGAGCTTAAAAACATCCATATCAACTGTCTCAATCTATCAACTCGTACAAATCTTTGTCTCACCATCTGTGTCATCAATGACCCCACAACAATATACAAGCCTCTAGTTGACCATGTACTCTGTCCAACACAAATATTGAAAGCCTCTAATTTTAGATTTACCTTCAATCTAAATGGAGGGGTGGAAAACAAAGCCCTGGAATTGTTTAGACATATCTTGGTCAACATAACCTGTGAAATCCACAAACACTTAGGATTATCTCTCTTTGCCACTTAAGGCACCCATCCAAATCAGTCCCTTGAGGAAAGGACAGATTGTATGATGTGGGTGGCTGGGATACTACTAGAGTGATTGTTTTTGTTGGTAGGTTCTTGATTTCCTCTGTTTGCTATGTTCTGGTCTTGGTCTTATTACTAGCACCTGTTGACTTGCAGATGAAAGTGGGGTTGTGGGTCACAACACATCTCAAAAACTTAGTTTTGCTAAGTGTGGATCTCAAACTGTTTGCCGGAAGCAATATACCAAGCGGTCTCATTGTACCTTACTTCTGGTGGTAAGAGAGTAGGGAATGATAGCTGGGGCAGTGTTAGAAGGGCTGGTGTGGTGATAAAGATCTCTTATTTAAGCAAAAAAATTAAAAATCATGGTAAAAGACATGTTTTTCATGTTTTTAGTCAAAGTCATATTCTATTGGTTATGTTGATGGTCAGAAAATGTCTTATAATTGATTATAATAGACAATTGTTATTATTATTAATCATTCAAAAAATTACTACACAATTTAATAAGGGTAGAAAGAAATAAAGAATAAGTCGGAAAATTGATAAAATAGTAATATTAGGGGGTTTCAAGTCAGAAAACTCTTGTGACACTTTTTAAAAAATAGACAATTTCTTTAAATTTTACAGTGTTTTTTTCTGCAAATATAAGGTCAACAACATTTTGGACACTTTCTGAGGTGTCCTGATTCAATCAGAGTTACAGTATAATTTGTAACATTGGACAACTTGTTGCACTGTAAAATACTGTATATTTCTTGACTTGAAACCCCCTATTAGTAAGATCCAATTAATGATGTGCTATCAAAGTTGTGATTGATGATGAAGGACATTTATTTCATATTTTATAGAATAAAATCTGCTATGAAAGGAATGAAAGAAGCAGATTGAAAGATTCGGAATTGAGGAAAAAGTCAAAAATATAGGTGTAAAAGGTTGGAAAATGGGTTTTAGGGTATCAAGAATTGACTGATGGTTTAAGAAGGTCAAACTATGAATGAAAGTGATCATATTAGTCAGCAACAACTCTAATCATCAGGATTGATAAAGGTGGAGAGAAATCGTGCAAGAAAGAGGGAGATTCAAGGATGGTGAGCAAGGGTACTATGGGATTTGTTCATATGTAATGATTGATTTGAGAGATTTATTGGTTACAAAGAGTTGTAGAGTGATTTGTAGAGTTATTCTCATGAATTAATTGATCTACACTGATCATTTCATGAAGAAGAAATCAATAATAGATGTGAAAAGGGGTGCAGAGATGTGACAATTGTTGAGAATGAAAGTTAACAGCTAATTACATATGTCAAAACTTTTCAGATTAGGATGGGTGATAGCTCAATTGATGAAGAATGTTTGATTTCATAATGTATAACCTCTACGCGACTACAAACAAAGGAACATAGATAATGGTGTGAATTTTGACTTTTGTGCTTACATACACACATGTAGCAACAACTCAATGACTTATTGAAAACACATCAAAAATAGGGCATTTTATGCCAATTATTGAGCAGAATCATGAGCTCTACAAGGTGAGCTATAGTAATCCAAAATTGGAGTACTTTAGGAAAAGGTTGAAATTCTAAACACGGTTTTCAGCTATGAATACTAGGAAGAAATCACCTGTATTCATCAAAAGAAGACCTGTCATCATGCATAAACATCAATTGATCAATTTCACAGCTTGAATCACTTCATTCATTAGTAATAATCTCATCATAAGATTTCATCAGAGGGTTATCTTGGGGTTTTTTGAGGGTTTTTGTCCAGTTTTTGTTGGTTTTGAATAATGTTTACCATTGTTGAGTGTTTGTAAAAGATAGTATATATATTTGGTGAATATTTTACAGGATTTACTCCCCTTTACTGTATCTTATACCATTGTTATAGTTTTTTAACCATTATCAAATTACTGTATTTGTACCAAGGCCACTTAAATCAGCCCGTTCAAAGTCAAGGAGAAATTTATTTACAGGTGATAAGACTACAAGTTGTCTTTGGGAATAATACTTATAATAGTATTCAGATCATTTCTCTGGTGTGTTATCTTTTTTATTTGTTATCACAAAGTGGTCAGAAAGTGCCCTTGTGCTAGTTTTATTGAAGAAGGAAGTCTTAGACAAATTCTACTTGTTACATATTGATAGATTGGCCCTTGTTAGATGTCTGTGCTCATCACAGGTCATGTCTCTCATGATATTTTATCCCCCTGGTCCTAACTTCTGGTGATGAACCCGTATCCAGCTCCCAACATGGTATTTAATGGACAACACTTGAGTTCATCACAGAGGAAGAATTATTGAGCTTTTTTGAAGAGCAGGAATTCTTGTCTTCTAGTTGCCAGAGTATTTGCTCGATAAGAACCCCATAAAAATATATTTTGTTGTACCAGGTCTGCCTTGGAATCTGCCTTGGAACAACAAGCTCAATGTGTGTTTGAGGACAAAAAGTCCATATATCTACTAAAACTAGAGACTCAAGTCATGAATTAATCTTTATTGCAACTCTTCATTGAGCATGGTGGCTACACAGCCCACCACTATTGGAGCCCATGCAATGGACACTTTGATGTGGAAGAGTATGACCATCTTTTTCTGGAATACCAAAGGTTTAAATATGGGCTGCTTGAGTTGAGAGGAGTTAAAAATGATTGATTGTGTCGGATTTGAAGTTGAGGACCACATATTGATTTGATCAATTGTGCCTGGGTTGAAATCAAGGATCACATATTGATCTCACAGCAAAGAAGACAAATCAAACTTGTGTCATATCAAGACATTGATTTTTCCTCTAATCAAGGTATGATGGCCAGATTGGGGGCAGGAGGCTCACAAAGGCCAATGAGGTAGCTTCAATAACCAAACATCAACAATTTAATTATGGGCACCAAAAATTTAAGGAGCTTTATTGCACAGATATGCTCACAAAACTAATACTGGAAAAGAACTAAAATAGCAATGATTATAAATTTTTTAGAAGACAACAATACAATTTTTTAAAACAAAAAAAGATAAGAGACTAGAAAAAATTAAATTGACTAATATACTTGAGTAGACATGTATTGAAATGTTTTTGAGTGGGATTGGAGACAGCAATACAATTGTTTTAAAAAGAAAGATAAAAGACTAAAACAAATGTAAATGAAATAGATAATCAGACCTATATTGAGATGGTTTTGCATGGGAATAAGATGTAAATATTTAGTGGTGTTTAGGAGACATGACTTTCATATCATAGTCATCCTCTGAGTTAGTTTTAGGAATAACAATGGGATTGGATTGAAGCTTTGCTTTTTCCTTCTTGACAATATAGTAGTAGAAGAGTTGAGCACTACCCATGAAGGCTAGGCCAGTTCCAGGTAAGATGACTATCACAAACTGTGATATTCACAAAATCAGCTTTAATGAAGCTGAGCAGTGATCAAACAAAGGCAAGAACAATCTAAGGTGAACAACCATGTGACAAAAGCAATGTTTGAGTTCAATAAGAGAAAATGGTCAAGGTACAGAGCACACAAGAGCTTTATATACAAGGAATTCAAACATGATTTCATTTAATATATTTTATCACAAGTGTAAGATGCCACAAAGAAACTATCAGACATATTCATAAGCCAATAGACTATCAATATTTCAATTTTTTCAAATCAATTCCCCTAGTATTCCATGTTGCACACATCAAGAGCATCTAGGAACAAAGATTGGTAAGAGTTTCACATGTCATGATTTCCAAAAGTCTGATCAGTGAATTTGTCCACCTCTTGATCTGGAACTCTAGCAAAATCAATGAAGTTATCAACAGTTCATAAGTTGGCAGGTTGTCTGGCCTCTTCAAGATCAACCTTCAAATGCAATCCCTGCATATCAGGTAGCCCCAGGTGGATGGAGGTGCCTCAGTTGTAGCCATCTTGGCTTGCTATGTAGACCAGAAAGGGGTAGTAGTTATGAGGGAACATTTGATACTTGCGGATTCCCAGAGTAATTCCTGCCCTGCCAATGGTCTGGAACAAAGTAAAACATGTTTGAAGGAAGATAAAATGAATAAACTGACCACTCAACTATATGCTCAAAAAATAAGTTCATAATCAAGGTGGAGTCAATCATATGCTCAAAAGATAAGTTCATAATCAAGGTGGAGTCGTCATTGTTGACCACACAATTAGCTTGGGCTGTGCTATTGCCTTTCAAGAATCTTTTTGTGACAGACCAACTCATTCAGCACAAGTTTGTGCTTGGGGATGGGGTCTGAATAGGCAAGCTTTTCATGTAGAGTTGGGCAAACTTTGTTGATTACATTTGTGGCTGGCAATACTGCATGGGCCAACAACCACTCCTGATGAGAATAGAACCACAGCAGTCAGTGAAATGTAACACAAGAAAATCAAAGAAAATACTTAAATCAGCAACCTGTTAGTCTGTGTTACCTGGATGTTCCATAAATAAGATGATACCAGCTTCTTGAGTTGGCTCAACATCAACCACTTTAAAAAAAAGAGATGATCATCAAGTGTTACAACACAACATTTACTCTTGCCATAAATACTGTGGTTGAAAAAGCTTACACCAACAGAGATTGTTTGTTGGCATTGCCTGTTTTGAATTAAGCACTCATACCACTAGCTGTATCATTGTAGATCTTGTTGGCAATGATGACTACAAGTGATATCATTTGCGTAAGAGATGGATCTGTGATATTAATCTGTTGCTTGGTAAAATTGTGAGATCAAGATGTTTCCACTTTAAAACATTGAACAAAGCGATTTGGAAAGTAAGTCAGCGCAGCCAAAGAAAGATTTGTTACTTACCAGATTTTTTCAACTTTTGGCAATGGAACTATAAAAGAAGAAATGTAAGTGCAGGACAAAAATGAATCTTTTATTTTTTACTTACCAGAATCCTTTTCCAGAGACTCATGGCTGAAATCAAACACCACAGATGAATCTTGGGATCCTAGATTACATGTTGAATTCAATCCATTGTTGTTTAGATCAAAGAGATTGTCAAAATTTAATGGTATAAGTAGGCATTCTTGATCACAGTTGGGGGTGTCAATATTTCTTGTGGGGTTGGATTCCTAAGAATGGGAATTCATCCTGCAACATAGAGGGCTCAATCAGTCACTATGTTCAGGCATAAAATTTAAAAAAAACTGATTTGTGGTTGTGTCAGTGATGAGATGAATTTTGAGACCCATGAAAGCTGTTAGACTTTGAAACACAAGAAGGAGTTTCAACATGTTTGAAAAGCAATTAAAGGGAGGGATGGATTATTTGACACTGAAAACAGAAAGGTGACACCATGTAAATATCCCTGTAACAGGTCAACATGCACACACGGAGAGTTTTGAAATAAATCTGAAAGCATTTTGGTTGGATTTAGACTAAGAGTGTTATTGAGCACCTGTTGTGAATAATGATTTATTTATAGGATTTGCAGAATCCTTTGTCTTTGTTTGGGGTCAACTGACTGTCAATGTCTCAGTTGGTAAGGGGAAGAGGTGCCTGTTGTGGTACGTCTTTGATGGGTATTTACCAGGTCTAAGGAACGACCTGTGTGTGTGCACATTGACATGCTACAAGGACATTTACATGGTGTGTACTGTTTGACAAAGTCTGAAGAAATATTACAAGCAGCTGATACAGAAAACCAACAGCCAACGTGATAGTGGCTGGAGTCAGATTAGAGAGGGCCACACCAACAAAACAATTGAGGTTCTTCTCATCTGGAATTGTAAACATCATAAGATGAGAAAGTATTAAACTCCTTGATATTTGTTGAGGCTTGGCAGGTTAGTGCAAGTGGCAATCCAAAAATTCTCTTCCAAGATTGATTACTTGTCTGAGTCAGCCCAGCCACTTCAAGTTTGTCCATTGCTGCACCTTGAACAAACCAGACCACCAATGGTCAATTATGACCAAGGATGAACAAAAAAGAATTGGGTTGTATAATGGCAGTGCCAGAACTTTTACAGAGATCAGCTCAAACCCAGTGATACAACGGACCTCCAAAACCCATAGGGCTTAGCTGTCACAAACCCTTCAAGGCGGAAGACGCAATTTGGACTACTTTCATATGGCAAAACACTAGAATCTGGTGGGAAAATCTCAAGTGGTAACACAATTAAAACTTCCAGAAAAAGTTCTTTTTAAATGACCACTGTTGGATGCACAGCATCCGGAGCCAGGGGGAGAGCTACATTATCCACTCATGGTAGCTGAGTGGATGTGCCTCACTGTGGCTTGGTGAGGCTGGACATTAAAAACCCATTATCTTTGCCAACCAGACTTTTGAAGGTGTCTCAGAAAACAAGTCACTCTTGAGATGTGAACGTGAAAATTCATGAAAAACAAGTCCCAACAAATTCTGGAAAATCTACACTTGTTCTCTAATGACATTGAGATGGGTTAACCCCTCATGTCCAATTGGAAGGCACTCAAATTTGATACTAGAATTAAATTTTCAGAGCATTCAATCCTTCGAGATGGAAGGTCTTCTGATAAGAATGTATTCAAGACCCGATGATGTCATGACCCGAAAGCTTTTCCGATCCGCTACCGCGTGAAGTTTAGTGTACCGGGTCCGAGTCCTGCTCACTGAGTGTCGATCTGTAAAGAAATGTAGTTTTGGAGATTGAACTGTAGTTTTGAAGAAAGTACCTTTGAACGATGTTTCTGTTGTTCAACTCAGCAATTCAAAATCCAACCAACTCACTCGGAAGTCAAGAAACTTATATCAATCTCAAGATGGTACCTTCAACTAAATTAGTCAAACCAACGAATGCTCATACCAAAGCATTACAAAACTTAAGAGAGTTTTTAAGTGAAAAAACTTGTTATGATATCTTACCTGAAAGTTATAGATTGATTGTTTTTGATAATTCGTTAGTTTCTACAATTTCTACAAATCAATCATGACCAAAAGAACTAACATTTGTTTTCAATCAAATAAATTCAGATTGGGAATCAAAAGAGCTTTAACTGCTCTTATGACCAATGGTGAGTTTCTTCTGTTGAATCATATTCCATTAAAAGCTTTTTGGATACTAAAGCTTGAATTTCTGTAATAGGTGTCGTATCAGCTCCACTTTATGATTCTACTTCATTTCGATTCTGTGGAATGTTTACCTTGACGGATGTAATTCATCGTAAACCAAACTTTTAATCTTTCATCTTCATCATGATCCGTTGACTGATCTATACCTTTTGATAAAACCGATCCTTCACAGTAATTCAATACTTTTACCTAAAAACGTCACCAAATCAAATCAATAGCGAATCAGTTTCATCAAGTTCTTCAACAGCTTCGTCACCTTCAATACCTATGAATCCAAGTCATGTGTTCCCTATCACTTCTTCACCCGATCAACATCATTCTTCATTACCATATCGTCCAACAATCTCTTCTGATCCACCTAGTGCCAGTAGTTCTACTTTAGATGATCCTTATGCTTTAGCTGCTGCTGAAGTCGAATCGTTTCCTCTCTCAAGACTTCGTGATATCGAACAAGCGATCGATGCTCCTCCTCCGCCTACTGTTCATGTTCATCCAGATGCGGTTGAGTCTCTTCAAATTCAAATTCTTTCTATTTGAACTCCAATCTCTAATCATTGATTTTGTTTTTGTTTTTGACAGCCTCTTTTAGAAGCATGTGAACAATTAATTAGAACTCATGCACGTCGAATACCTTTGATTGATCAAGATGCAACAACTGGTAAAGATGCAATCCTCTGCGTCCTAACCCAATATCGTGTTTTAAAATTCATTGCAATCAACGTAAAAACCCATATCCTCACCCTAATCTCTATACTCTTTCAAAAACCCATTTTCTCACATCACAAAACGTTGACCATTACTGATATTCTTTTTTTTGGGGGGGTTATAGGCACAATCTGATGTAGATAGATTAACTCAATCAATTGGATCACTAGGAATAGGATCTTACGTCTCATCATACCAGTCCTCAAGAAAAGTCACTGATCCCATAAACTCAAACCAAGACACTCCAGAAGCCAACAATAATCATCATCATCACAATAACAATTCAACCACTGCAAATACAGCACATTCAGATCATGATCCATTTCATCCATTAGCGACTGCTACATTACAAACTACTGTATTTGATGTAGTACATATGTTTTCAGAACGAGGAATAAGTGCTGTACCTATTGTTGATGAAAATGGTAGCGTAGTAGATCTATATGAAGCGGTAGATATAGTCGTAAGTCTCAAGTCATCTTTTATCCAATTTTCTTTAGAGGAACAATGATTTAACAAAGTGTATTTGTTTGGCTTATATAGGATTTAGTTAGAAGTGATGCATATAGATTATTAGATTTAACAATTGAAGAAGCTATAGCCAGAAGATCACCAGATTATTGTGGAGTAACAGTATGTTCAGCCGATGATTCATTATCGAATATCTTAAAATATATTGGAGAAAGAAGAGTACATCGGTTCGTAATAGTAGATGATTTGATCACTCAAACTCAAAGTTCAACACAAGAAGATGAAGATGCAACCCCATTAGCCGAGAACCGACCAATGAATTTTGTAGCAACTACAACCACCACCACCAAGAAAGAAAAAGTTAAAGATAGACTCGTTGGGATCCTTTCACTTTCAGATATTATGAAACATTTGGTGGGTAACAAAGGAAAGTCTTTACAAGGTAAATCGATTGTTGGATTAGGCATTCAGGGTGAGAAAGAAGAAGAGGTTCAGGTTGAAGGTGAAGGTGAAGGTGAGGAAGAAGAAGAGATTAGTTTGATGGTCGAAAGTGAGGATAATTTGGAAGAAGAGAATGAGTAAGTTAACTAGTTTTTTTGGGGAGGAAGAAGAAGTTGGATGAAGGATGAAGGATGAAGGATTTTGAAGAAAAATGTAATACATAGTTCAAAATTTGTAATGTATTGTATTAAGTAAAGAAGTCAAGATAGTTTAAGTGTCTTTTTCTTTTGCAAAGTTGAGGCATTGTTTTTGTGATAGGGATAAGAAGGTTTTATAGTGTTTTGGTTTTTTTCTAAGAATGTGTTATGTCAATGTATGTCAAAAATCAAAATGAGAAATATGTAATTATATCATTTACTATCTTTTATCACTACTCTTGTTAAATGAAACTTATATATAAACCATTTTACATGATTCTTGAAAACCTTACATTGGATTCACTCATTGCACCACAATCAAAGTTAGATTTTAACTGCATAAGTGATGATTTTCTTGGAATGGACTGCAAGAGATCATCCAGGAAATGTAAAAATTCTTTTTTTCAGTTGCAAGTTTTGAGAGATGCAAAAAATCCTACCTGTTTGCCTTTTTGATTATTCTGTTATCATGCCAGGTGAAATTGAACTGAAATCTTACAAGCTATCCTTGAGGATGTGCAGACCAACAAGTGGACTCCAGAAGAATTCTGGGTGTCTTGTCTAGTGAATGATTCATGGTTCTCAAATTTTGAAATTTGAACAAGAGTTTGATTGATAGCCTAAACTTCACTGATCCCAAGGGCTTGTCCACATATTGGCAGGGGTTAATAGCTTTACTGACTGGTCTTAAGAGATGATAATCATCCTATCTTCTTATCATAAGGTACTTGTATTTCTGGACAACCTATAATTAATCATTCAAGTATTCTTTGGCTGCAATAAAATTAAACTCACCCAAATTTCAACTTTCCCATCAAGCTTGACTAATTATTCCCCTCACAAATGGTATTAAAAGCAGATCAAAGATCAAGGTTAAATTACAAAACTAAACAACTTCTTTTCTTCAATTTAAATCAACACATGAGGTATCAAATTATGTAAAAAGAAATAAAGAAAGTCATATGAATTCTCTTGAGACTTTTTTTGCAAAAAATTGAAAAAAGAAGTTTGAAAAAAAAGTACACTTTAAAGTAGACTTAAATTCTTGGACAATGGAGATCCCTCCACCAAAAACACAAGTCTGACATAAGCCCTTTGTTAAACTTATTCATTCCAACAGATCAACTTCAGAAACTCCTATGATCCCTATATAAACCATCACTCATCCCTGTTGACCGTGTATTCCATTGATCATCTCTGTCTCAAGTCGCTTGTATGTATTCATATATCTCATCATACATATTATACACATTCTTACTCAAACTCTTTAATTCAATTCTCTTCACAACCATTGTATAAACTTAATAAAAACAAAAAATTGAACATAACAAAACTTGCTTGGTGTCCTATTTCTCAAAAACTGACACACATACACACACACAATTATTCATTTCTGAATTCAAACATCTTCATCATATTGCCTGAATGGATGATCCATTCATGAATTGGTTCATATCCAATTTAACCAATCTTTGCTTTACTCCTTCCAACTTCATTGTCTTAATCGATTTCCCCTATCGATCTTGTGTACTTTCAAACCTATTTAGTTTCATTGAACATAATTACCTAAAGATCCATAAACCAAATCAATAAACCATCTTGATAGATTCATGACAAGAATCATAAGTTCAAGACAAATCCTAGTAAGAGAACACTGACCAGGAAAGACGCCTTCAACTCCATTCAATCTACCCGTCCACCAATCATCAACACTATCAGTTTTTTTAATCACTTCGATCCGATCACCAGCCGAAAAATTCAAATCGCCTTCTGCTTGTGCAACAAAATCATAAGTAGCAGTTACATAAGTCGCACCAGTTTTAGGAGGTACTGAAACTGGAGGTTTAAAAGAAGCAGGAGCTGCTTGGTTTTGTCGTTGAGCTTGAATGGCTGCTGCTGCTGCGGCTACTGATCCCATTGACGGTGCAGTACTGTTATTATTACTTGATGAAGTGGCATCTGGTGTATAAGGTGGTGGAGCATTGATATTCTCATCTTTTGGTAATGGTCCTTTTCCGCCAATTCCTCCTCCTATGGAAGGCTTGGGTGCTAAGGGTGGTACAGCTTTGGTTCCTGACATTGGAGGTTTAGATCCTAAGGGTGGCTTAGATGCTAAAGGCGGCTTAGATGCAAGTGAAGGTGGTCGATTAAACGATGGTTTAGCACTGAGACTTGGTGGTCGCGATCCAGATGGATCACCTCCTGCCATTTGTCGACGTTCAGCTAAAGCTTTGGCTAAAGAATCAGACAAGTCGAAAAGGATCAGGGATTATTGAAGTTTTATGATGGGAAGATCAAGTTAAAGACAAACCTGTTGGAGGAGCTCGTTTGGTGATAGATAAACCGTCTAGTCTTTCAAATGCATCTTCGAGCCTTGATTGATAAATTCCTTCAATATCAGTTTGGGTCAAATCAAATCTACCTTCAGCAAATTGTTTAAGTTTTTCAAACGAGACATAGAGTACGTTAAGTCTGCAAAGAGAAAGGTCAGATTAGCGTGGATTTGAGACCAAGTGACAATGGATCAAAAAATACTAACTGCATGTAAAAAAACGAATAGAATAATGGTGAGACGAAAGAAGTAGCAAGTTCCAAGAACCTAGGAATATCAGTCTTCAGTAAATTATTGTAATGTTCATATTCCGTTAAAGCAGCTTCGTAATCTTGCTCTAACTTGAAGATGTTCTGCTCATCCTCTTGAAATCGGTCATTTGTTTCAAATTATCTCAGATTCTATTGTGATAGCTTTGAGTAGAAAATTTTTAGGAATTACACACTTAATGTTTTCTCTTTCTTGTCTCGTAGCTTAACATAAGCGTTATTGTGTCGGTCGAAATCGATCAACTGTTCCAATATTTCACAATGCAGTATGGTGAGTGAATGAATGTACTTCGAAAATCTATACAGATGATCCTTGATGAAAAGAATTCAAAAAAATACCTTATGATCACGTTTCACAATAGTTTTCCTGGCCCGTTTGATAACTTCTAAAAATTCTTTAACAGGTGCCATGATACGTGAATCAATAAGTTCTAATTCAGGTTGAACTGTATCTCTTAAATCTGTAATCAAATCTTGATACGAAGTCATTTGTTCAATCGTTTTAGCTGCAGATGGATATCTTGTAGCCAAATCTAATTCATTTCCTATAGGTGATAAAAGTGTGATATATGCTTGACCAAAGTTATGAGAAGATGTTAACATATCTAAAGAAAAAAGAAACCAAAGATGATCAGCTTAGGATTCGATGAATTCAGACCAGCCTAATGCATGTTCCTCAAAGCTGTGAAAATTCTTAAGACTGGAAAATAAGGCTTGCCACGGACTGGAGACAGCTTCTCTATAAGCCTTTGAATCCTTTAAAAGTTTGGCTGTCTCTTCCTCAACAGCTGTAAAACGACGTTTAAGATCATCTACTTCAACATCATTTGAAGTCTTTGACATTCCAACCTTTGAGGTGAGGACATGTGGAGTCCTTTTGATAGCCTTTAACATGATCGTAAGTGATTGACTTGGTGATGATGATCGTTTGAATTGATGAAGTAAATGATGTTTAAGAGAGATTCAGAACCGATGGTCTGCTTATAAGTTTTTCCTTGGTTTGATATTGTCAATGAACCAAGCCAAGCTATGAATGAAGTTTGCTGTTGGAGTGAATTGAGGATTGAGAATTGAGGATCGATTGATGTTTGGTGTTAGATGGCTGTGCAGTGTGCGCTCACCACTGTCAACTGTCAACCTACATACAAATGTCACAGCTCATGAATAACCTATGTACAGGTGTCAATAATTCATAGGTCACTTGTTATGTATCTACTGATTGAAATGTCACAAATAATATGTAGTGTATGTTTTCTGCAACGACGGGTCGGACCTTGTGAACTGATATTTCATCTTGCAAGATGATTGACGTCATAGGCTGTTGACCATTGTTACCAATTTCATTCACCATTATTCTTTCTCATTCATTTTGCTAAATCAGTTTCACTTGTTCACTATTCAAGTTCCTAGTCATCAGAATCAAGAAGATCAAGGTAAACAAGTAATGTCAAGTGATGATATCAATTATGAGGCTGTAGCAAACCTTACAGCCAAGTTGGCCTATCTTGAAAAATCATATCAATCGCTTTGAACATCATTTGTCTTCCCAAGTGAGAAGGGGAAAATTATTAGGAGTATGGTTTGGCATAAAAGGATCCATCACTGCACACCTGAGCCATAACACCCACACTACATATGTGCACCAGGCTGAGTGAATAGGTGGCTATCATGTACATACAGGTTTGCTCAGTTTTCTGCTCATCTGAAGATGTAAATCATATGTAATACATGCTGTAATTTTTTTTCAGCTGGACAAAAGCATTTCAAAAGATGACTACATACACTGACTCAAAGGTTTGGTGTGATTTAATCAACCAAACTTCATGTAACACCCTTTGTGTTACTGACAAATGGCTTTGAGAATTTTGTCTGAGTAGCCATGATAATATATGTAGTGGATTTCTGGGACAAATTTGTCAAAGTTAAAAATGTTACATGATGTATTGCATGTGATTTATTTGTTAAGATGAGCAGATAACTAAGTACACCTGGAAGATAAGCAACTACTTACTTAGCCTGCTGTGCATATGTAGTGTGGATTTTATGGCTCAGGTGTGCAGTGGTGTACCCTTTTATGACAAACCATACTCCTGATCATTTCCCCCTTGCCACTTGGGGAAGTTGAGTGATGTTGACAGTGTATCAAGAGGTCAGCGGTTCTACAAACAATTCCATGTAATCTATCAGGAACTTTCTTAAGTCTCTGGTTATGATACCAAACTAAGAGGACCCATCCATCTTTATATTTGTGAGATGAACACAAAAGAAGCAGTGATGACAAAGACTGTTAATGAAGGTAGTTGGACGGGTTTGGCTCCTAGTAGGTTAGTACAAGGTGCTCAGATTGGAGTTTCCTTTTGTCTTCCCGTTCCTTTTATGCCATGTAAAGCTATCATAAGAAGGAGCTGAGGCAGGGTAGCTGAGAGATTGAGCCAAGCTCTGAACAGAGCCACACAATGTGCAAGACAACTGAGGAGGTGTTTTGATTCTTTACACCTTGTTCAAGTTCACAAAGGTCAATCAACAAAATACTCAGTACTGAGTACAAGTATTGGATGATTCTTGATAACAAACATGAATCACTCCGTTTCTGACACATTGGGAGTATGAAATTTAGACCCTGTGTAACGGGTGTATTCAAGTGACCAGGTACTGCTAAAATGAGTTTATAATGATAAACAAAATGATAAATTCATAGATGATAAAGAAAAAGGGGCACAACATTCCCAAAATCAACCATGAGTATATACATTGATGTGTTACAGCTCTTACAATGGTCAACCGCTTCAAAAACCAATCAATTTTGACCAAGAACACCCAAAAGCCCTCTGATGACGTGTTTTAATGACTTTGCTACTTATAGATGATGTAATTTACACAGCCCAAAGTGATCAATGATGTAATTAGATCTTACGCAGCACTTCTTATGATAACTACGGGTGAGTTTTTCCTTATAATCTGGCTGAAAACCTATTTTCAAAGTTGCAGATTGCCTCAAATGATGTGCAATTTTTGATTACTAAAGTGCATCTTATAAAGCTTGTGATGCTGATTAATAATTGGACCCACCTTCTGATGAGTAATGGATGAGTTATTGAGCTGTGAAGTCAAGTTTTTTGTATGTAGATGTTGTTACATGTATGGATGTAAGTGTAAAATCCGAAGTTCACTCCAATTCCTTATTGCCCTTATAACTTTCTTCACACACCTCTCTTACTAGTGATTTAAAGTTTGTACCTTATGAAATAATTGCTTCTGCTTTGAATGAGCTAGCTACCATCCAATTCCCACCTCACTTGACATGTGTAATAAGCTAAAAACCTCCATTTTTCACAAAATTCACTCCTTTTGTCCCCTTTACACAGCCATTACTAACACTCTCTTGCTCCTTTATGTTAAATCATTATCCATAACCGTGGAGATCCTGGATAATTCTCTTGGGAACCCTATTTGTTCCTCATACCACCATTACATATGTAAACTACCTGTAAACCCTTGTTTACCAGCTTAAAAAAGTACTATTTTCTTAATAACTTCTATTCCTCCTTATCAACTATCAAGATTAAAGTTTTTTATGACTAAAAAAATGCTTCTCTTTTATATTCTAACCTTCCTAAGCCCTTAAACCTAATTTTAATACCCTAAAACCCATTTCCCAGCCTGTATACCTATATTTTTGAGTTTTTCCTATGTTTTTCTTTCTTTTCTTTTTGTAATTCATTTGTTAATAGTTGGTCTTGATCTCAAAAAGTTTTTTGAGGTAAGATGACCTAATCATGATGTAATGTGTAGTATATAAGCTTTAAAGAGCTTCTATTGATCTAACTGCACCCACCCAAGTTTTTCTTTGCACTGAAACCTTTCTAGTAACTTTGGTAAAGTAATATGATCATTTTTTTGATTGATCCAATAAATTGATCACCACACCGTTCAAGAGCCTCTTCAGGTATCCTCCCTTGGTGTTGCCATCAAACCACTTTCCCTGTGCATGGCACATTGTCTTCACCTTACACCAGCACTCCACCCCAAAATCCTCCATCTTGTCTCACTGCCACTGCCCTGCGCTTGAGGGGCCAAGCCTATGAAGGGCATTATACACCATGAACAGGAAAAATTGAACAAAGTAGGTGCTGGCCTCAAAACTTCCCCAGGACTTCCACATCCGTCAACTTCCTGCAAAGGAATCATCCTCCAAAACACACACCCCACCAAAGGAATGCAATCCCATGGTGTCTAATCACAAGTTTTATCATCCTTTGTTTGTGCAGTACCAGCAGGGAATCACACCAAGATCATAACAAACATGCAGGTCTGTGGCAACTGGAACATGGATTTTGGCACTGAGCCTTGCCAAATGGGACAAATCCACTTGTTGAATGAAACTCATCCCACAACAGGAAGCTCCACTTTTCCAAGAAATCAGGGTCCCCAAGACTTGGTTGCAGAGGCGGTGTATCAAGACATTGAGGACTGTCAGACTGTCAGCCCTGACCCCTAATTACAGGACCATGGGCTAACACTACCATATGTAATATTAAAATATTGTATTGAGCCATGAGCTACATCTCAAGGCTCAGTGTCAAGAGCCACTTACACACATGTATGTAATGTATTGAATACATAGTTGTTGTGGTATTTACTATACCACATTGTTCAAAGATCATCTTCAAGCAAATAAGTGTCAAGGACTTCTGTTGAATTCTGTCAAATTATTACTAAAAATCAAGACAAATCAAGTACAAGGCAAGTTATCTACCTATGAATGTGAAATTGATAACAAATTGAGTTGTGGTTAGAGTGGTTAGGGGTTTTCTTTCCTGTTTGGGAATAGGCTGTCTGTGACCTGAGAATTTATGTCTCTATTCTTCTTTTCAACTAATATGTGTGCTATGATTTTCTCTATATAGCCAAGACTTGTGTACGTCTTGATTTCTTCCCTCATTGGAAAGAATTCTTAAAGTTTTATTGTCTAACTCACTATTACCATCATAACTCATCTTTGCCCATACCCCTGTTGCATTGAGCACAGGTGTGCATTTCTTTTCAAAGCTGCTGAAGCTTGCATAAGGCTTGTGCCAATTTAGCTTATGCCACACCTGATTACCCCAGGTGTGTATTTCTTTTTGAAGCTGCTGAAGCTTGTATAAGGCTTGTGCCAATTTAACTTACACCACACCTGATTACCCCAGGTGATTGTTTTTCATTGAACGGCACAATCTTTGAACTATCTTGAGCTCTTGCAATAGTAAACCTCACCCAAGTGTCAACCACAAGTTGACCCATGAATAGACAAGACTAACACACCAACCACAAGTTGACACTGGAACTGAGACTATATAAACCCCCCCTTCTTCCCTAGAATCATTCCCCATCTTTTACTACCATCACAACACAGAACCACATTTTACTTGACTCCTATTCAGAAGATCTTTGAGTATGTGGTTAGTTGTGTAGTTTGTCAAAGACCATTCTTGAGCATTACAAGTTCCATTGCTGAACACCCAAGGTACTGATTTCTACGAGCACAGGGCATTTGTTGTCTCTAGAAATAAACCCTAAAGTACCAAAGCTTCCTCCTTTTTAAGGAGTCTAAAGTAGTCTTCAGGATTTTTGGTTTACCAAAGTGTAAAGCCTGCCCCTTGCAGTCTCACAAGGTTAGAGCGCACTAGCACTTAATTTTCCTTAGGATTCTCTTCTCTTTCTCAAATCCTCTTCTTAGAGGTCAACTAGCTGTAGTCTTCACTTGGGTGTACCACATGAAGGCTGCTCTTTCCTTTTCCTACTCTATTCTCTGTGTAGAGTACACCTAACAGATGTGTACTCCTCACACTGACCAAGTGGGACCAGTGCCCTCAAACCCCCCACACACCCCCTTTTTTTTAGGTTTCCCTGTACTAGAAGCCCATCTATGTTTGGAGCCTCCTCATCTGGCTCAAGTCCATGTCAGCCAATTGTAAGCAACCAACACTCACAGGTGTTTTCAATGCAGCCTAGAATGGGATTGGTCCCAATCTTTGACATCCTCAATCACCATCAACTTTAGCCTCTCAGCTGAGGCTCTGCCACGGCCCCAATGCTATAGCTGCCTATGCAT